CCTGTCATGGGAACCCTCTGATCTCTGTGTTTCAGACTATATAATAATGTCTACTTCTCACTGCAGGCAATTAGGAGAATTAATTAGTTAATATTGTATAGTTTTTGAAGTCTGAAACACTATCTAAATATATTGCTGGATATGAGTGTCCCATCTTTCTTCTGCGTTGTTTTTAAATCAATGCTATTAATTTGAAAATGAAGAATTCTTTTCTATAGTTTTTGAAGTCTGAAACACTATCTAAATATATTGCTGGATATGAGTGTCCCATCTTTCTTCTGCGTTGTTTTTAAATCAATGCTATTAATTTGAAAATGAAGAATTCTTTTCTAAAGAAATGAATATAAATGTCACCTGAGATAAATCTAACCATTAGGTTAGATTACATAGTATTTATACTAAAAAATAGGTGTGCAAAACATGATCTAGAGAAATGTACTATTGTAGTACAAATACAAAAATAAATAATAATAAATAAATTCCCAGGTTTAAATAATAAATTAAAGAAAATTCAAATTGACAAAATTGATGTGAATGAATTACAGAAATACATTACTAAACAGGGAAGTCTTTAGTCTAACTAGAGCTTATATTTGGAAAAAGAGGTAATGGAGGTGGAGGTGAGAGAACATTTTGGAAGTGTTCAAGCTGCTGAATTTTATTTTTATTTCCTCAGCATGTTATGGGATCTCTTCCATAAGAAAATGAAATAGATGACATTTTATCCCCTGCTTGTACACCTCACAGGGTAAGTAAAGAACTGCTATGAGGTAATATAAATTCTTAGCCATATGGACTGTTCTTAAAATTATTACTGCCTCAATTCTCAATTGCAGGAAGAGTAATTGACTCTTCAAAACCAAGAAAAGAATGTGAATGGGTGTTAACCTTCAGTTCTGTGGTAAAGTGTACTTGCCATGAACTTTATATTAGCTCAGTAATAAAAGTTCTCAGAAAAACGTTTCTTCTGCTAGATCTTGAAAAAAATTTGGAAAAATGGTGTTTCAGTCAAATCACATTTCTGATAACACTGAAACAATACACTATTTTCTGATTCTTGCCTACATTCACTCTCATATTAACATGATTTCTTATTTGTCTATGCAGAAATGTTATTTTCTGACAGCTGAAAATAATTCAGAGCTGATTTGTGTTCATTTATTTATTAAAGGGAAGGTTAAAACCTTCAGCTAAAAACAGCGTAATATGGAAAGGAGCATGCTCAGTCTAAACTCAGCCTGGCACTTAGCCATATGTTGTTTAACTGGAAGCTTGTCATTGTCATTGATGTCCAGATGACTACTCATGTGCAACTGTTAAAGATCAAACAATTGTTTAAGTGTGGTGGCAAATCAGAGGCAGAATGCTTACACCTTTGCAGTAAAAAAAGCCTAGTTATTAAAGTAATTGAACCAGCTAAACTCAACAACCATACACTTATTTATGACTTCATATGTATGTTTACATATCAGATAAAACAATAATGTAGTACTCAGTTAATAGCCAAACTTAGCAATGGCCTTGCATCCATCAAGCTAAGTACAGATGTCTGAGCTCGTGAATAAAATGTAAATGACAAAGTAGAAGAACAACTCTGAAACACTTTTACAAGAGTTTAATCAATCTTACTGAGATATGCAAAGGAGGCAGCATGGGGCTGCCTGAATTCCCATATCCTCATAATTCCACCCATTTATCACCTCACAGCATTCCTGACTGTCTCAAAAGGAGTTGAACTTAAACACTTCCTTAACACATTATTAACATATATCACACGTATTTCTGCTAAACAACTTCCTGTAAAATAAACAAGAACCATAACCAGTACTGAGAGTTTCTGTATGATGATTGTCTGAAAATGTTCTAATAAATATTCTTTAAATAAAACACCACAAGGAAACAATGAAATAATGGTTTCAAACACTTATTTAGTTCCAGTGTCATCACAGACTGCTTCACCCTCACACTGCCATCCATGTACGTACCCTAAGTAAGTCTATCAAACCAGGTACATGGCCTGATTGGTCTTTTGTGACCCCACATGCAAAGGCTGCTGATTTATGTAACACACATCCTCCATGGTTGGGAGTATAAAGAATGAAGGAGTCCCTCCATTCAATATAGATTTTGTGTGGAAGATGGCATCAAAGGGAGAACGAAATTTAAAAGCCCCTAGAGTTTCCCTACAGTTGTGTTACATCGAATTTTAAAATAAGACACTCTTAAAAAAAAATAAAATGTGTGTGTCTCTGGCATGCATCATTCACATACTATGTACACTAAACAGAAAGAAGAACCTCATGGGCATTCGGGCTGTATTGATCTTCCAGAAGTTCTTGCAGCCGTTGAAATTCCTACAGAAGTCAAAGGAGCTTTCCTTGAAAACCTCTTATTTTACTGAACCCAAGAAAGAATGAGGCTTAATTTTGCTTTTTATGGCAAACTATAAACACAGGCTTATCAAGGTATTTGGTATCTGCCTAACCTGAGTGACGTGTAGAGTTCTGTCCAAAGCCAGCAGGACTATTTTGCATGCTCACTCAGACACCTGCTTAAGTGCCTTGCTGGACCAGGGCCAGAAACATAATAGTGGGCTGGCTTAAACTGATTAGAAATGTTTTGCTGGCTCCAGTGGAAGCAGGATCCAGCCTTTATTGCCACTTTGCAAAATATGGTGCTCAAAAGGGAAAAAAAAATCAGGCGCTCTGTAGTTCTTGCAGTGGTCTATTGGGTAAAGCTTGAGTACAGGACAAATGTAGCTCATTTAGCACTAACTGGAAATGTGTATTACAGAGAATACATCTATTTTTTCACATGAAAATAAAATTTGTTAGCTTGTAGTAATTCTTGAAATAAAGTGGCTTATTGTAATAGACTGTCTAGATCCAAATTTTCTCTAAGAAAGAGGAAGAATAAGGTTTAAGGAAATGGTGAGGAGAATCCTTTAATCTTTGTGAGTCTAAAGAGGGAAGATGCTTTTAATAATGTAACTTTCAATTCTTTTTAAGTTAAATGCTATTGTAATTAGTATTTTTAGAAACTTGAGCTAGGTAGTTACACAGCTTTTTATTGTTGGTATATGTGGCTTGTTAACCAGGTATTATCAGACAAACTGGCATCATATAGTCCCTTCGTCTCTGGGCAAACTGAATGATTCCTGGCCTCTCTCTTGCTGCAGAAATCTTTATATTTGTGTGCTGTGAGACCATTAACCACAGGCTGAGGAGCTCGCTCTTCCCTTGCGGTAGAATTCCTAACAGGGCCTTCTGCCGCGATAAGTCCCCGGCCGACTACAAATTATCAATACTGATTACGGGATTGCTGCAGTGGGGAGGGGACCGCGTGCTCGGCACTGCAGGGCTGGCCAGGCTCCCACAGCCCTCACTTCCCTCGTCTATTTGCATCTACAGCTGTCTCATGCTGTTCCCAGGGGTGCCACAGCCAGGTTAAAATGTTTTCAATTCACACCGATTATTCCTCGGGAGTGGAACATCAGCATTCGAACAAATGCACTGGTGTAATGCATCGATTACAGCCACTGCCAGGAGGCTTTGGTGTAACTTTGTGCAATGTGATGAAGAGTCCTAACAAGAATCTGCATAGAATGGAAATTTGAATGGGATTTGCTTCTTGGAGAAAGGCAACAATTGTGTTGGGACCTCTTCATCCTTATTTTATGGGATTTGTGCGTGCACGATATTAACGGTGAATGATTGTGAAAACTTGAATTTGAATGCAACAAATGCAGGTCCAGCCTCATTCCCCTCCTGGAAAAATAACAAAACCAAAAAACCCAACCCGCAAACTGTTATCTGTCTCCCCCACACCTTCACTGCGATTTTTCCGCCCTCCCTCCCCAGCAGTCTCCCTCGAACAAAGGGGCCAGTACCGGGCTACCGCCCTTCGCTCCTGCCTGGACCAGCAGGACCAAGACGGACCCGACAACAACGTGCTCCCCGATGACCTGGGAGCCCCCCGGGGACCGGGGCTGGGGCGGGGAGGGCGCAGCTGCCGCGCCCCGCCCGGTGCTCCTCGGGGCCCGGCGGGGTGGGCTTGGGCGGGGGGCGGGGCGTCGCGGAGACAGGGCGCGGCTCTGCTGGGGAGAGGGGAGGATGCTCTGCTGGCAGCTGGAAAACGCCAACAGCAGCCCCGGCAGCTGCCCCCCGGGAGAGAGAGCAGGGTGGGCACTGCTAGCGCACACCAGCTCTCCGTGATGCAGTGACCTACTTCAGCCGCCCCCCGTGTCCCTCCCCCCGGCAGACTGCAGGTGCGGGCAGTGCCGGGGTAACGCCGAGCGGCGGCTCCTTCTCGCCGCCCCTCCCGCAGCCCCCCGCGCCGGGCCGGGCCAGGCCGAGCTGGGCTGGGCTGGGCTGGGCGCGGCCGGCCGCAGTGCGCGCCTGGCAGGGCCCGCCCCGCTGCAGCCCCCCCGCCTGGCACCGCGGGCCCCCCGCCGACCCGGCCCGGCCACCTCCCCGGCCGCCGCCCGCAGCCCCTCGGGCCGCCGCCGTGCCCGTTTCGGGCGGCAGTGCCTCTCCACCGCCCCTCTTTTCTTCTCCCCACGCGGTTTCAGAGACAGAGGGGAGCGCTGACTCCGGCCGCCGGGGACGAGGGGAGATACATTGACAGCGGGGATAACTTTACCGTTCGTTTTGTTTCCCTTTTTTAAATATATATATAAAAAATATATATTCATCTTTAAATTAATGAAAGCAGTTTCAAAATTATGCTGTGCTCATGTACCGACCTCACCCATCGGTCTATAATCCGATCTCCATTAGGACGCCAAAAAAAAGCCCCTGGTGTCACCCACCCTCTCTTTTTTTCCTAATCAAAGAAATTAAAAATATGTTCATCGCTGTCTTGTTTTTTTTTTTTTTTTTTTTTTTTTTTTTTTTCCCCCTAAACTTTCGGGACAGCGAAAAGAGCACCTAGTGTAGGTAGAGGACCTAGGAGACAGCGGCCGTGGCACTGGCTGAAGGAAAAGAGAGGTGGTTTCTTACCCATTGCTGTTTTAGCCATGGTGGGATGTGCGGCTCTCAGAGGCGGTGAAGGCAAAGGGGTCCAGCTACAGCAGTGGAGAGAGGGAGAGAAGACTGAATAAGGCACTGAGTCAGCAGAGTGGGGCTGTGCAAGAGAAGGAGCAAGAGGCAGGAGCCCATGAATAATTATCACTCCTCTACCCAAGCAGATTGGCTCGAGAGGTCCCCTGACATGACTCCTGCAGAGCCAGAATCTCCGGGCATTAAATATTGATCCACCAATAGTGCTGGAGTACAAAGTGCCAGAATGCAGTTTGAAATGGAAATCAGTCCTTGGCTGCCTCTCCCCCCTTGGTCTGGTGTTAATAGTACATTCCATGTCAAATGTTTTATGTCTTACATGAAAAAAGCCTATTGGTGTTGAAGGCTCTGCTGTTGCTACCTGTAAAACACGCACAAATTCATTTTAACACATTTTATTCCAAAGATACAAGAAAAGGGACCACTACGAGGGATTTTCAAAACTATTTCAGTAAAACAGCTGCTCAGATTATTTTTGCCTCCTGCAAGGATACACAGATATCCTATACAATTGCTTTATACTGAATGTTTCTGCATTTCAGTACCTGTTTTAGTGTCCCCAAACCTAACCCTGGACATGTTGAACTCTGCTAAACTATGGGGAAAGCTGGACATGCTTTCACTCTCAAAGGGCTCTGGAAAGCCAAAACCAGAATAAATGTGGAAAGAAGTTAATAACCACTTCCCTAATGCACTGTAACAAGAGCCACTGGGAAGTGCTTGATGTCCTTGACAAAGTGTGCAGCATGGGACCTGGTATTGTTATTACACGAAAGGGGATAGACGTGTTCTAAGGATTCCCTACATTAATTTTAAGGATTCTCTATTATCAGCAGGAGGACAGTCAGTGACATGACTGAGAGCCACTAAACAAATGTGGGTAGTTAATTGAAACCTTCGCTAGAAACATGGCAATGATGGGACCTCTTTGGAAACCTCCTGGGCTTGGAAGCAATTGCTGGCCTAGAGAAGACAGTATCCAAGACGATGGCACAAAGAGAAGGATGCTCCGTCTTTACATTTTCACCTCTATGCTGTCCAGCTGGAGCTCATGTGCTTCTCCCAGGGGAAAAACAGTCTTACTATTAAAAGCTTGCAGTGATAATGGACTCCCGCATGGCTTGCAGACAGACAGGGCACAGGACAAATTTTCAGCTTGGAATTTGGAGGACGTTACTTACGGATTTGTTTCATGATGTGGTGTATAGGTGAGTGGGAAAACCAAGGAGAGCAAGCACAGGTTTCCAGGGCAGAAGGAGCTGGGTTGTCCTAGAGCAGGCAGGGCATTGGCATCATTCTCCTTACTTTTGTGATGCTGTTTGCAGCTGCAAAGGCCACACTATGTGCCATGTCTAAATGTGGTACTCTCACTCTCAGTGTTCTTCCCTAGAACAGGTAACTCAGGATTATGCTTTTCAAGCTTTCTTGAGGTCAGTAAACAGCATCTTTGAGTGAAGCAGCACCCAGAGCATAAGCACGAGGCTAGCTTTCTCTTTTGAGACACTAATGATAATCTCTGAATTGCAGAAACTATTTTTTTTTCATTATATGAGAATAACGAAGTCTGGAAGTGAGTTTGGGGAGAAAAACATTCCCGTGCACAGACACCAGCGAGTGAGCCGCGGCGGGGCAGACGCCGTGATGTCTCCCTGCCGAGGCGGCTCTTGCTCGCAGGAGGAGGGGATGAGGCAGGTGTGTCGGGATGCAGGGCCGATCCACCTTCCTGAGAGGCCCTGCCCCCGCAGAAAGCAGGAGGGCGGCCCGGGGATCCGGCGGCTTTTTGGAGGGTTTCACTTCTGAGCCTTTGGCTGTGTGGCTGCAGAGGGGGGTTGGGTGAGCAGGGGACAGGATTGTGCCTGGATGTCTGTAGGGAGAGGAGCTTATTCACAAAAGGAAATGGTGAGCAACCACACGGTGCTCCGCACGCAAGGGCGACCTCGCCCCAGTCGAGACACACCCAGGCTCCCACTCCCCCGTCAGGGGAGGGCGGAGGGTGGCCGGGCGCTCTCCGTGGTGCTGCAGGCGGCGGCGCTGCCCGGGGCAGTTGCATCCCGACCGGGCCGCGTGGGCGGGATGGGGGACGGGCAGGCAAGGAGGGGCCGGCAGGGAGTCGGATTGGGGGCGGGAGGCAGGTAGGCAGGGCGGCAGGGTCGGAACGAGGAGGGGGCGGGCAGGAGTGGATGCGGCTGCCCCCGCCCCTGCGGGTGAGGGTCGTGGTGCTGGCCTCGCCCGGCTCTGTCGCTTCCCGTGTCCATGCTGCCTTCCCGACATGGGACGGCATCGGGGTTCGGCTTGGCTCCGCGGGGCTCAGCTGCCGGGAAGGGGGTGACACCGGGGCTGCGCTGACACAGTGCATCTCTGCTCGGCTCCCCATCCCCCGCCCGGCACGCCCAGTAAGGAGGCGAACCCGCCCCACGGTCTGTCTCTTCTATTTAATTCTGATTTTCCTGTTCTCCGAGCTAAAGCAGCGGCACGGGGCGGCCGGCAGAGCCTCCCCTGCGGGAGGGATCTCGCTTCCCGCTTCCGTGCGGCAGCAACAGGGGCAGCAGCGCTTCCCTGCTCCCTTCGCCGCCGGCAGTGGCGCCTCTGCCCGACCCCCGGTTGCCCCAGGCCGGGACTCCCCCGCATCCCGGGAGGTTGTCAGGCCGGGACGGTGGTCGGGGGGTGGATGCAGCTCGACTCTCCCCCAGGAAGCTGGTACCGGACTCCTAGGGCGGGTAATGCCGAGAAAGTGGTGCGAGAAATAGCTTGGCAATCACTGTCATGTCAAATCTTGGCATTTACAGGAGCAGTTACCAGACACTCCATACATCATTTCTCTTCCACTGATGCCACCTTTTGATGTTTTGTTTCACATAAATTTTACCGGAGCATGAATTAAACTCCAGGATGTCCTATCAAGGCTAGGACTTTTTTTCTTTCACAGCCTGGGCCTTTCCTTGATTGACACTAAAATGCATTTGCAGCCTAGCCTATCTCCAGGTCTGTGGCTGCATAACTGTGGCTTTCATCCCACTTTTATTGGACACTTCTGTGGCCTTGGCTAGATGGTTGAAAACATTTTGTTCATTTTCCCCATTTGTTCTTTTCTCCATTTGCTAGAAAGGGTTTTACTTTTTACCCCCTTGCAGTCAAGGGAGAAAAGGAGGTGGTACTGGAAAGAAAAATGTTTGTGCAGCACTTTGAAGACAATTGCTGCTAAGAAAATGAATTGCATTGGCACTGAAATACTATGCATCACAAAGACGGGAGTAGGTTATGAATCTCCTACTGTCTGCCTGTGCTATGTGTCTGTGCTGCATAGACTGTGAGGCTGTGCAGCCTTGTTTAGTTTTCTTAAATAACTTGAGAAAGTCAGCTTTTTTCTTACTGACTTCTGGGAGACTTGTTTACGCTTGGCCTTTGTCATCAGGAAATGTAATGGACCTTATTTAGAGGAGCTGATTTTTTTTTTTTTGTTTCTACTTCTTTCGGCCTTCTGGAGTGATTTCTCTTAGTGTCTGTGCAATTTTAGAAAATTAATTGGTAATTAATTAATGATTATTTTGTTTACATCCCTATTTCTTCCAAGCTCTCACCAAAACCTATGATGAAAGATATCGTTCATTCTGTATGATGAAGGTCTCAAAAGTCAAAAAATGGTGCCTATGCAACCTTAATTACTCTTCCTATGCATTTATATAATTATACAATTTTTAATTATATACTCACATGTTATTTTTTCCACCAGATCCTCTCTACGTACGTAACAAGATGGATGATACTCCCTCGGTGAACACTATTTGATTTTTTTTTTCATTCTGTTCTCATAAAAGAGAACCTTGACACAGTCCTCTCTGTCCTTGAAAGCATGGGTACAATAAAGATTTTCTTGCAGGAATGTTTACCAGACTATCTTCCTGACATGGGTGAAAAAAAATCTTTTGTCTAGCCTTACTCTTCAGAGCAGGTGAAGTATAGATTAGAAGATGTTAGCATAGTCTGTGTTTCAGTAAGCAGTTAAATCCTGCATATTTTATTGAGAAATGTAGGAAGAAAAGACTACAAATATATGCATGTGGGATTTTCATAATCTTTGTAATGTTTTGGCTTTTTTTTGTAACTTTTTCTGATTTTTTTCGGTAAAACTGTATAACTATACCAAGCAGCTGAAAAGATTAGCTGTGTACTGAATGCGTAGGGAGAAAGAAAGAGCACAGATACGTATGTATAACTGTGTCTTGTATCTGAAACATGGTTACCATTTTTTTCTTGAATTCTGTCTTATATTTCTTTGTGGAACATCTGAGTTACAAAGCAGTAAAGTGCTGTTACATTTCCATCAGCATTTCTCTGCTTCTGAAATGATGCTTTTTTTACTAGGCATAGCCTATCTAAAAATCATCTTGTTTAAGCTTGGTGGTGGCTTGATTAGCCAGCTGCAAACAATGTCACCATTAGTGATTTTAGTTGCTGCTCATTCCACGTACGCGTAGGAATAGTGCAGCTTTAGCACTCGCCTGGTTTCATGCAGGCTTTTATACTTGCACGGCTGCACATGATATTCCTTTCAGCAGTGTTCAGGATCACCATGGGGAAGCTGAATAATGGTATTATGACATTTGTGGTTTTTTTTTTTTATTATTATTTTCCTGGAAATTTGTAAGCAATTACTTAATGCTAGCATGGGGATTGGACATAATAAGATCTCCCTCAACACCTTTGTCCATGAGATGTGAGCTAGAGCTGTGTGAGGCCGCATGATGGGAGTGGCTTGGTTGCATCTAGACTCTGTGCTATGTTACAAATACATAAACCACTATAGGCCTGGTGGGGGAAGACTGGGGAAACTGAGGTGAAAACAAATTGTGTCATTCTGAATGAGGACAGTATGTGCCTGAGACCACGAGAACTGTTGTGTGGAATCAGACCAAGGGGCCATCTATCCAGTAGCCTGTAAATTGCGTATCCTCCCCTTCCAAGCCCCCACCAGACAACAGGATTTTCTAGTCAGTGACGTTCTTAC